AATAAACAAGATGCTCCCCCCCCCCCCCCCCCCCCTAAAACAGACTGAAGGCAGTAATGATTTGCTGTAAAAACATCACTATTTCCATATAAAACCAACAAATAAAAAATCCCTTTTGTCAGAAATCATATTTAGACACAACCAGATCCATATTTAAAGTGTGCCTATAGGAAATAAATGTCCAACTGTCACAACAAAAGCACTAAACACACAGCATGTGCTTGTATGCTGTTAGAAACTGATGGAAACCCAACTTCAGAGTCTCTCTTGAGATCTTTGAGGATGAATGACTTCACAGTACATGCAGCTACAGAGGTCAGAGAGGGATTGTTTTAAAGCACTTTTACTGTTTGGTAATAGTATTTAAATGCTTCAATGAACAGGCTCAGCTGCACTCCAATGCAGCTTACTACGATGGAGAGCATGTGCAGGTCCATCAGCACCTACTTTATTTGTCCATTAATTTAGAATGGCAACATACGCAATACACATAGTGCCATATGTTACTGTGCTGTTGCCTGGCCACTGTAGGTGAGGATGTGCAAGCTCTATCCATCTCAGCTTGGGAGGTAGGAAAGGGCACACATTATGTGCCAGTCAGCATTCTAACGGCACTGGCGATTTGTATGATGTTTAAAAGAAAAAAAAGAGCGCTTATACCAAAATTTGTGCCATTAGTTACAATATTATTTTTCCCTAGCAGTATATGCTAGTTTAATTTTCTAAATAAATAAAAATATACTGGCTATGATTAAACAGGATAACACAGTAATGTCACATATCTCAATGTAATACACACTTTCCAGTACTGAACCATATCTATAAATACAAGGTGCGTTTTTTTTAAGATCTACATCAAGAAAACAACACAATGAATCATACCAACTTCACATCAATTAACCAGATTTAACAGTTCATACATCTAATCTTAAAAGGGAGAGTGTATAAAAAAAAAAAGCATAGAGGAGCAAAACAGAAAAAAACTGTCTTTATTACCAGGTTTAGTTGCTCGACTACAGAGAAATAAATAGCTCTGTATGTTTAGTTTAACATGTGCTTGTGAGCTGGATTTGCATATATGCTGTAGACATATGCGCTCACAATGTTGGATTTACTTTGCAGGTGATCAGAGCTGCTATATTACAGTCATGAATAAGAAAAGCATCTATGGCCCAGGCAACACATTGTGTAATAAACTAAGATTTAAACAAATTGGGATTAATAATACTCACATACAAGTTTAAAAACCGCATGTGGGTAACCTCAGGACACCTCCAACAGATGAAAGCTTAATCAGCTTAGTTGGTAAATTTGAGCTGATATCACATTTTCTCAGTGGTCAGTGGAAGGAATAAGGTAGTACAGCAGTTCACAATGCACATATTTTTGTGAGCTACAGCCATGCTTGTATATGTGTTTGTTAGGGGAAAAAAACTCTATAGAGAGTCAGTCTGTTTCCTCACATCAAAGCAAAGTCACTAAAATACATTTTTAATTGATGATTCAACACATTATCATTATTCCAATATTCAACACTGAAAGTAAATATGCTGCTCCTAATGTTAGCCATATACAGGCTGAGACATCACTAAGAACAGTAGACAGACATCAGCCTTCCTGAGTGCCAGGATCTACTGTATTCTTTTGTCAACAGGAAAGAAAAAGTGGTTTAAGCCATACCTTTTGCTACCCATCTAACAGTACCCGTTATAAGACCTTTATTGCTCCCTCTCTCATGTTACGGCTCTCTAGTAATCCCTAGATAGCAGATGTGAAAACTCTTTTAAAGGTAAAGTCTATTTTTACACAGTCATTCTGGATACAATGGCACCATAATACTGCTTTGCTCCTAAAAAAAAAAAAATTCATTTTCATGGCCTCCAAGGATCTGCTCTTTCCTGGTTCTTCTCCTACCTATCTTAGCGCTCCTTCAGTGTAAACTACAACTCCATCTCCTCCTTTCCGTAGGGGACCCCCAAGGCTCTGTCCTCTGATTCTTTCTATTATCTTTCTACACCTTTTCCCTTGGCCAGCCTCTATTGCAGGTGTGGGAAACTCTGGCCCTCCAGCTGTTGTGGAGCGACAAGGCATTGTGAGACTGACAGTTACAGGCCTGACTCCCTGAGGCAGAGGCATGTTGGGATTTGTACTTGAAGCACAGCTGGAGGGCTGGAGTTGCCCACCCCTGCTTTAATGACTTCCAATACCATCACTTTGCGGACAAAGTATAACTCTCTCTACTCCTCAGCTCACCCCTTCAGTCTCTGCACTCATTACTAACTGTCTAATGGCATATCATTATGGATGTCCCAACACTCTCTAAAACTCAATTTTTCCATCTTTCCAAAACTGAGCTCATATCTCCTCCTTCCATGCTTACCTCCAGGACTTCTTCATAGCCTCTCTTATCCTCTGGAACTTCCTATCCCAATCTCTCCAACTATTTTCTACTGTGTAGCCCTTTAGGCGATCTCTCATAACTTATCTCATCAGGGAAGCTATACTGTCTTTACCTTACAACTGAACTTTTACTTTCTCCTACAACTCCCCCCCTACCACCCGCACAGTTATTACTTTATCCCTCCCTAGATTGTACACTTGCGCAAGCAAGCCCTCCTAAAGCTGGAATTTCACCCGGTTTATGATGAACACAATTTGCTCAGTGGGTGGCCTTGCAATGAGAAAATTGAAGGAGCTAGTTACAAAATTTGGGGTCCCACAGTGACGGCAGCCAATTGGCTACTGTCACTGCTCAGGTATTCTGACAGTGGCACACCCACTGCTGTTTAGCATGGATGGAGGAATCTGTCACATTTTTTTCATTCAGCCTGAAGTTTCAATGGAAAAAAAAACAGTGTATGGTCAACTTAAAAGGAGAACTATGGGGGTTAAGGCTTTTCCCCATACTTCTCCTTAGGGTTAACGGGAGGACACAAACTAGCGTCCTCCCGTCACCCTAGGCTCAGTATACCGCGAGCTGTAGCTCGCGGTATACTGAGACGCCGCAGTATACTGCGAGCTGATCCCGACAATTGTGCCGGGATCCGCCCAGCTGCGTGACTGACAGCTGGCTCTGCCTATCTAGAGGCAAAGCCAGCTTTACCCGCCCACTCCCCCGTCCGTTCCGCCAGTCAGCGCTGGCGGATCGGAGCGGGGAGGGGGGGAATCCAGCCCCTTCCCTGTCACGGCAGAGAGCCGTGACAGGATCGAGAGGTGAGCGAACTCCGGTATGTGTTCGCTCACCTCCCGATCTACTGAGCCGACCTGTGACAGTCTCATTGTCACAGGTCGGCTAGAACTATAAGGTGAGTGAAAAGCACTCACCTCATAGTTCTTCTTTAACCCTGTTGTCTTGAATTGTATTGTAACTGTACTGTCTTCCTTTATTTTATAAATCACAGTGCAAACTGATGTAGCTTAATTTCATGCACACTAGCTGAAATTATAAAGTTGGCTGCAATGCTGATGTCACATGAAGAAGCAGAGTAGGAGTGATTTTACAGAAATCCTATGTATAATCTAAAATCTGATATCTTAAGCTCAGATTGTTCTATCACATCCACTAGAGTGAGGTAGATCTCTAGAAACCACAAAAAGGTCATACAGATATCAGGAATGTAGAAATACTAAAAAAAGACATACAGGGTTATTCACAAAAGGGTGAAGAGTTTGGAGAAGTGGACAATCTAGGACAACATAGCTGAACTGGAAAGTGAGCTGAATTGGAGAATGTTTCCAAATCAGCTATGTTGTCCTAGATTGTTCACTACTCCTGCCTTCTCCGAATTCTTCACCCTTTTGTGAATAACCCTGATAATATTAGGTTTACAAATGTAAGTTTGAGATGGTGGCGGAAAATAGTCATATTGGATGATTTTATTTTTTAAATGGAATATCTAGTGTTTTCAGGACTCGCATTAAAACATTTACAGATAAATTCAGTTCAGTAAATACAGTTCAATATTTCACACTTACATTTAGAGTCAACGAGCTCTTGGCTCGTTTTCAAATGTTTAGTAGTCTATTATGAGTCTAAAGGTGAACTGATTCTTCTGTGCGCTTCAACCCATATGACTATGTGAATCTTGTGTCATGTGCACACTTTGTATTAAATGTTTACACAGACTAATGTAAACAATATATGCCATCAATATGAACTCCCATTAAAAAAAAAGTTGCTGCCTCATCTAAACTTACAGTTTTCTCGTAGTCCCCCTGCAAAGTCCCACAAATACTTCTACTTCATACCTAATAGAGCTTCCTGTGATGGTGTAGCAACAATGCTGCACTGCTTCCAAATTCAGAGCAGAGTTACCACTCTAATGCAGGCTGTGCCTGCTTGTACTATGATGGGAGAAGATGCTTCAGGGGGTGTGGCTATCATCATCGTCACTGCTGATTTACAAGCCGGAATCTTGTCTAACAGTACCTGACCACACCTGGTCCTGCCCACTGCCTGGATTAAAAGCACTCCCTCTGTTGCTAAAATCCTTCCACTGTGAGCTGCAGTGTCTGGGGGGAGGAGTGTGTGAGACACAAATACAGGAAGATTTGGCTCAGTCAGGGAAGGTAAAGGGAGTTTTTTGTTTATGGTAGGAGACCTGTGCATCACATAGTAACTGGATTTGTTACTTGTTTAAACCGCCATACAGGAGCCTTTAGTTGTACTTTACAAAAAAGTCAGTTAAACATTAGTGTCTCCCTTTATTGTGTTGTGTTTACCCAATATCTTACCTACAGCCCACATGACAGTGTCAAAAGTCTCCTTTCCTCCTTCAGCAGAATCCATGTTTTTCCAGGTCACCTGCAGTTTTCCACTCTCCAACTTTTCTACACTTGTCGGGCTACATTTTCTTAAGAACTTTGTACCATAGGACTCCATGTAATCAGTCACTAGCACAGCCATTTGCTGTAGAAACGAGAGAAAATGTAAGGTTACCATTGGAGCCACTGATATATAATCAAAGTCAGTAAAACATTTTCAGACAGACCAATTCAGTAGAACTTCCCCTGATGCCAAAAATACACTTGCTTACCTGATCAAACCCCCTGAGAGGTATACTCCTAATCATGGTGGTGGTATCCTGGCCAATTCCAGTCAAGAATCCTGCACACTCAAGTGAGACATCTTAAGATGGTTGGTTATGGAGAATAAAAATGTGTCACATTAAAAGTGGGATTAGATAGAGATGGATAGACTGGGGGGAGGAAGCCTCTTGT